AAACATTTAGCAGGGGACTTTACCCTGACAAGAAAGACACTGCATTAAACACAAATGTGTTTGTTGGCAGGGCTCAGATCAAAACGTCAGCTCTTTGTCTTATCCTTAGCTGTCCTTCCCTAACAAACGCTAAAAGTCTTTGAACCTGGACTGGAGGTTAGCTGTACACCATGAGCTGCTTTAATCTCTTTAAACCTGTAGAATAAGTGCAGCGAAAGATGTGACAAAACAGAGGAAAAAAAGAATGCAACATCAATACTTCTGCACAGCTTTAAAAGATTAGATACAAGTAAACCCTGCTGTGCATTTGGCTGGAAGTACGGAGTTACTTCATCCCTAGTGACTACCACAAAATACTACTCTAAAGGACAAAGACTGGAAAGCAGTAAATGGAAATGGTGCGAAAATGGAGGCTTGCTTTGTTGCGTATAGAACCCAAACCCTACAATGTCTATGGCAGTGACATCAATGGTCAAAAGGCTGTTACTTTCACTGTTGAAGCAGTACGGTTTTAGATACATTGCCAGCAATGGAAGCCTAGAGTGAATGAAAATGGCATGATCCAAGTTTGAGAAAAAGGAAAGGTGACATATGATTACATTAAATATGCCTGTACATTTGATATTATTATGGTTTGTGGTCAGAAAAAGCCTTATTGTTTTGGCGAATACAGTCTTCTCGTGTGATCATTGGTCAAGGTTCTGTCTGTGGAGATGAAGGCCAGCAGCTCACACAGTGATTTCTACAATGTAACAATTCCACGATCAACAGGCTGTAAGCAAACACGCCTTCTCTTGTTCCACTGTTTGGAGTTATTTTGGGCGAGCTTGGACCCAAGCCAGTGAGAGACAACAAAGGCTCATGTGTACCATATCAGTTAATGGTCGGTTATTCACAAAATGTTTAAGCACGAGGCTTAAACGACAGGACAACAGCAGCAGTGTGTATGTAGCAGCCTACAGAGCAGCCTGGGTAAAAAACCAGGGGAGTCCAGAATAGGAATATTATGTAAACAAAACTTTCATTTTATGAGATAGTTTATGAACAACTGGAACTTTCTTTTTTTTAAAAAAAAAAAAAAGCACCTATTTACTATCAACAACAGATCGAGAAAGGTACCAAGATCAAGAAATTATTTTAAATTAACATATCTTCGCACATTTGTGAAAGAATGACACAAATGTGCGCCTGACCTACCAAACATCCCCCAACTTTGTGACCATATTCAATATATATTTAAAACATATTGCCAACATATTGTCTTTTATTTAATTCACACTTCTAAATCCTTCCCATGGACCAAATGAAACCCTCCGGTGGGCCAGTCCTGGCCTGTGGGCTATATCTTTGACACCATAAACCATTAAGGTCAGCACTCTAACTCACGCTCACATATCAGTTTACTCAGATTAGTAATGTGATCTCATGTCATTCTGCAACACGACATTCAACAACAGTTCGACTTTAGGGATTACACAGAAGATGATCAACGCTCCCTAATTGGTCAGCAAATGTTTGAAGATGGACAGCAGCTAGGTGACTGACCAAGTGGTCCATATGTTCTGTTGACTAGTCCAACCTTTGCCTTTAGCTATTAGCCTCCCTTCTGGTCACTTTGTTGGTTTGTTTTCCTGCCTTTATTTGGATATCCTGTGCAAACTCAGAGACGTGAAGAACTTCTCTCCCTAATTGTTTCAATGCACTGTGGTTTATTTTCACTCCTTATGCAAAACAAAAGCTCTCATCAACAAATGTTTATAGATATCTCACATTGCAACACTGTAGTCCACCAGCGTTTTCATGCCGATGACCTTTTCTAAAGTGAGGATGAATCTTAGATCGTCATAGATGGTCTATAATGCATGATTTTGTCGAGTAAATTCATGTTTAGCCCAAAAGAGAGAATAAATATATGAATTTGTAGAGTTCCTCTTCTATATATGTCAATTACATATTTACATTTTAAGTAGTTTGGGATATTTCTGTAACTAACTTGCTTGTTTGCTCTATGGGATATTTCATATATTTTGCAGGTATTTGTGGAGGCCCCTCTATCACTGGTTGGGAAACCACTAGAACTTTCTAGAGACAAGCAATGACAGGTTTCACAACTGCTGACATCTAACCTGACTCAAAATGACAGAATTAGACTACAAAAACCAAGGAAATATTTACTTAGATTAGCGTTTTAGTGAATTTGTTTTTTTCAAATAACTCAATGCACATGATTTCCAAGTTCCACTCCTAGAGTCTCACCAAGTATATACATATATTCCTGTCCAGTTTTTATATAAAGAATGTTGAAAAAAAACTACATGGGTTTGTCCATCAGAATTAACCTGTAAACAACAGGCTTAAGGAAGGCTTATCGCCACCTACTGCAGAATCTACAGATTGTACAAAGTTAAAACTTGTGTGAGTTATTCTATGCAACCTGATCTCAGGAAATTTATACACATTTATTCACTGGGCCCCAGCAAAATGCAGCCAGCAGCCAACATGAGCAGCAGATCAAACCACATGATAAAGACCACAATAACATCCAACCTAGCATCCAGCGCCATAGCGCCATCACCCTGGTGTTTAATGGAGGCATGTTTCATCCAGACAGCCTAATAAGTGTAACTCAATGCCAAATATCGAGTAACTCTCGCGGTGGTAACTTCACACGTTTGAATGTAAATGTAGCTACAGATGGAATGTACCGGAGCTAAACCCACACGTTTTGTTTTTTTTATTTTTTTTTTTTTTTTGTAGTGTTTTTTTTTTTGTTTTGCTGTTTATGCACAGCTGAAAACACAAGGGAAATGTAATATTAATAATTAATTGAAGCATGCTTCCAATGAAGGATAAAGATCAGCTGAATCAGGCATGTCTGCAGTCAGACCAAAGTACAATCTTGGCCCCTTTGAAAGGTTTTATGTTGTCAACAATTTAGGTTTCACATACTGTTATGTCTTAGCTGTTAACATTTTTAGCATTTTGCTAACTTCCAGGTATTTTATTTGTTTGGATTGTTGTTTTTCATTATGCAGCCTGTACTTTTTATAACTAATCTAATAATTATTTGACAATGTTTGATCAGATTCTTATGTGGGGTTTTTTTACATATTTTAATATCATTTATTTAGCAGCTTTTGGCAAAATGTCAGGGCTAATAGCAATCCTGTTGCTCATTGTTTTTACAAGCAAAGCCTTTCAGAGTCCTGAGTGAAAAATGGAGATAGGCAAAAGTGATTAAAACAAGAACATTTTTCATTTTTCATTTAAGATGCCACTTAGCCATAGCTCTACGTCTGGCAGGAGGAGCCATTGGCCCCAGATATTTTTTAACTTTGACAAGTTGGCTCGACTTAAAAAAACATTTGGACATCCTGACCTATATACAGACAGAAGAGTGAAAAGAGGGGCAGGGTTTTGCACATTGAAATGGAAATGTAAAGTGGAAAGTCACATTTTCTCTGATTACAGCAGATTTGAAGGTGAGCTGCTGCTGGAGGAGACATACGGTCCTAATCTTGTCAAAAGGATTTCAGAGGGTTTTTTTTTCAACGAGCACATGCACCTATCTTGTGTCAGACCGCATGACAAATAGAAACCAGCTGTGAAGAGAAAACTTTTGGTGTTGACTGATGGATGTCCACATGCTCCGAAATTCGCCAGGATTACATTCGATACACAGCAATCAGAATCAAGTTCTGTCATTAAAATCAGCAGGGGAGAAAAAAACAAAATACACACACACAAAAAAAAAAAATCACACTCCACATTTAATGAGATAGACTGGAAAGTATGTCGAGCATTTTTATGGTCCAAAGTCATGCGAGTGATGCTGTATAGACTTTTTTTGTCTTTTACAACACCACCATAAATATCCCATTAGATAAGCTGGAGATAAGCTCTGAGGAGAGACAAGATAAGTGATCGAAGAGGGCTTTAACCTTCAGGTCTAGCCAGTTGAGCATCTTGTTCCAAGGCTCTTTAGAAAAGTCCCTGGGCTGAAATGATTTATGTCAGCTTCAGTGCTGTGTTACAAAAACACAATATATACACCTCATTACTCAAATCCTGCTCGCATGAGCAGTAAATGAAAGGGTCCATAAGTAAGTGATGAATTGTTGGAATATTTATCTTAACATTTGACTCCAGTGGTTTTCCTGCTACAGTTAAAGATGGAAAATATAGAATGAAATCAAATGCCCATTAATAAATGCATAGAAATAAGGAAGTTTGTTCTTAGAAGAGTTCAAACGAGGTAGGAGTTTTGGTAAGTACGTGGGTATGAAGGTTTCACCCCCACACAGGCCGTAATTATTTATACATGTTCAGTTTTAATAAAGACAGGTGGTGCTGTTGTTTCTTACAGCATCTGGTCTACATAACCAGTGTCAGTGTGTTACCTCCACCATGGCTGCAGTGGAGGGACTGACAGGTCTGACCTGGCTTATCCTGTTCTTACTTCTTACTTCAAATGTGTTCACACAGTCTCTGGGAGGTAACCCAGGTCAGGAGAAGATGAAGGGTCTGTTTCAGAAACAAAAAGGCAAACTTATGTCTCGTGTTACACCTGACTTTAAGAGGGATGACTAATGTTGAAACGTGATTACAGGTTCTACAAATTATTATGGTTTTGCTGCACAGTGTCACTTCGGATGTCATGGGAGTCTTTACGTGGGTCACCTCAGGTCAGAGTGAAATTATATGTAAAATGTGCAATAAACAAAGTTGTGCCAAGGAATTTAAAAAATGATCGCGCTTAGGATTTTTGTGAGTTTTAAGGTTCTTTAAGTTAACAAGAAAACTCAGAGCAGGTAAACGTCAGAAAACAACTGTGCAGCACAAACTTTACTCATTACCGTGGTTTTGAAATCACTGATTTATAGGTGGTGGCTCATCTCCTCATGTCTTAAAATCTGATCTTCCCAAATGTTTTGCCTAACTGAATAAACAGCAACGGGAGTGCTTGTTTTAGTTCCTTAGACTCACATTTTCCATCATGTATGAATATAAAATTACGGCAGCAGTAAAGAAGTATAAAGTAGAACAAAAAAACAGTGAAGGAATGGAAAGTCAGACTTATTTACTTCAATGGTAATTTCATATAAATGGAAATGTCGATGTGATGTTAAAAATACTTTTCACTAATATCTTAATACGAGCAAAAAACAAAAATGGTTTCAAATGCTGATTTGACATCTTTAAGGTATACTAGACACTACATATTATACAAAGAGCGTAAGGACCATGAGAATCATCTGTGTTGAGAAAGGCCTAATACCCCATGACCTATGGCCTGGTACTGGTCCAGGACCCAGTGGTTGGGAAGTTTGCTCTAAGTAGCTTGCAGTACACTAGTAATAAATTCAATGTAAATAAAGTTTTTCTTTTCCACAGGGGCCTGACACCCAACGATCTGCGGCCTGCTACCCAGTAGTTGGGTTCCTCAGCTGTGAGCTCCACAGTGAAGGAGTTACACCTCAAAGGAGAGCCACAGTGGACACAGAGATATAATGAAGTTCTCCTATTATAAGATGATAAATGTATGCGATGACCGAAGTTGAAACGAGGGTTACCTCCCACCGACTTACGCTACACATTTATAGACAGACCGGGGGCCAGAGTTTACACAGAGGTAAAGGAGAGCCTGCAGGTAAAGACAACAAAGGGAGATTAACTCGCTGACTATTTTCTAGCCGTTTAAATAACGCAAACACGTCTCGTTTAACTCCGCTCCGCAGCAGCAGGAGTAAACTCACAGGAGCATTTGTCCGTCGTGCCCCACTCTCACCCTTCTCTCCACTATTGGTGGGGGCTGCTTGTTTAAGCCAATAGGCAGAGCGCACGCTAATGTCATTTGACTGTGACCGCAGAGAGGAGCAGCGCAGCGCACCGTGCGCCACTGGGATGACTGGGATGTGGTGACAGCGGCTGAAACCAGAGCTCCTCTCTCCTCTGCTCTCTCCACTCCACTGCTCTTCTCTCCTTTCCTTTTACTCCTTCGTGCAGCCGATATCAGGGGTTTAAGATTATCGCCTTGCACAGCTCTGGCTCCAGCTTTGCGGCACAGCGGTGCGCCCTCCCGGGACACTTTTCCATCCGACGCCAATGAGAGGCAGCGCGAATCGCCTATTTCACGTCGGGAATATTGGTTTTGGATACTCGTTAAACAGAGACTGAACGCTTTGGAGGTAAACAGATTACAACTTTTCCACTTAAGGGGTTGATCATCTGTGTGGGTTCAAATTGAAACTTTTTGTCATATATTTTTACACCCTGGGTTTGCTCCAGTAATGCGCAGTTATTGCTCTGACAATGAATGTTTACGTACTTCTCAGTGTATTTTTCGTTTAACAATTGTAGTAAAACCAGAGTAAATCAATCACGATGAATGAATACACATTTTTTTTAACACATTATCAGTGTATCTGAGGCTCAGGGCTGAGTCAAAATCCCGATTTAGGGCTTTCTCGAACTGAGACTTTCTCTTGCGCAAGTGAAGGAAGAGGGGGGAAACTCTGAGAGTCAGGGGTTGGTGGAAGTTTAGGGTCTCTGACTCTGTCTCCAGATGTATGGACTCAGCTGTCGCCTGTCACTTTGGTGACAACTGGTGGGTGCTGTGTGACTGCTGCCTGTCCTCTAGTGCAGGGCTGCAGAGCTGTCAGGGGCGCTGTTGAGTGACGGGGAATGTGGAAACACACACACACACACTCACACACACACACTCACACACACACTACATACAGTCTGGTGCCAGTGTGAGGTTCACTCTCAGTCACTTCACTTACTAAAATTCACTGATTTAAAAGAATAAACTTTGTATTTAATCATTCCCAACCACTGGGTCTGGGCCCACAGAAGGGTCATGAGAAGATGGCCGGGAGGATGGGAGAGGTATTCAAAGAAATAATTCTATCAACCTTTTAATACGGATTTATAGCAAATTTACACATACTTGAAGTAAGGGTTGGATTAATACATTTCTTGTGGAAATGGAGGAAAGTAGCTATTCAAAAATAAATAAATAAAAGTGTCAAAGTGACGTTTTTGAAATGAGTGGTTTGCACTTTTTTTTACTGTTGGGAAAAATCATTGTAGATAGAGAGATGTGTCGAAAACGTATGGATACAAGGCTAACTATTGTAGATTTCACACAGTCATTACTGCCATGGGGACAACGACCCTAACGAGTCGACGACCAGATGCATGATGGTTGTCCACCTTTTAAAAATGGATGCTATTGTAAAAAAGAAAAGTGATAAGCACTGACTTGTGTGGCCATCATCTTTGTCTATGACTGAAATAGATCCAGAGCAGCGTGTCTTTTTTTTCCAAAGAACTGAGCGTGATTGAAAAAGAAAAGCTGAAGCTACAAATCAGTCCGTCCCTGTTATATATAACGAAGAATGCCTGAAAGACATTTAGCTGTCATTAGAGCCCAGTAAACATCACCATAAGCCACTAAAGCCTGGTGCCTGTGCTGTCGGGGGTTGACAGAATGACATACCTACTTGGCTCTGACTGAGTGCAGGACTGCAGAGTCTGACGGGCCCGGGATCTGTCACTATGGCCACAGCTGACATAAACAGAGTGCCACTGATACTGTGGAGCCTCTCAGCCTGATGCCTGTCAGTTAGGTGAGAGAACAGACACGGGGCACGTCCCAGTCTGGATTCTGATGCAGTGCCTGGTCCGGATTGTGGGTGTAGTTTGTGGTGCAGTGCGATTCACGTTACAGTGGATCAAAGGTTCACACAAACAGAGGCGTCTGACGCAGGTCCTGCACAGTTTCACCCAGACACTTCAAACAGCAGCTAAAAGGCAGCCATGTCACTGTAACTGTTAACTGCTGAAGTTATTTTTCAAATGTGGCTCTTTGGTGATTATCACACGTTCAAACATCTCACAACAGACACTGTGCAGCACAAATGCAAAGAAGGCAAGGCAGAGAGAGAGGCAGAAAGAGAAAGAGGGAGAGAGAGAGAGCAGAATCTAGCTGTTGGTGTCACCTAGTGGCCAAATTGAGGAAAAACTGCCTCACAACTATGATGCTACAGAAAGAAACCAGTAGCTTCGTGTTTGTTTGTTTTTTACGTTTGTATTATTATATGCAGAGATGAAGTTATCTATTAACTATCCCTAATATTGCAGTTATTACTTTGTCCAAGTCTGACGTATAACCTTTACTTAAAAACAAGGGCTACAACAGAGGACAGAGAATATTTTCAGTTTCCTACAGACAAAAAAAATGCTAATGGCGTTTTGTATAGAGCATTTATGGACAGATATTGTTATTTATGTAGAAGAAAATTGGACTGTGAAATCATCAAGGACCCTGTGGTTCTTGTGGTACATTAAGTATGCTTGTTGTTGTTACACTCAATTCTGACCGTCATGTGACTGTTATATGACAAATAATAACTAAAACATTAAGGAATGATGTCTTATAAGTAACTAAAAGACTGTCACAGAAATTGCTCACAATGCATTTTAATTTAATTATTTTGTCACAGACCAAATTTAGGGGAAACAGTTTAGACAAAGTAACCAATAATAACACAATTACTCTGAAAACGGGGTAATCTATTCTCTGAAGTGAAAATGTTGGATTTGCAACAGTTAAAAAGACAAATTAAAACCTAAACATGAACCCACACAGCCTCGGTCCACATTCTCCCTCCACTCAGTGAAGTCAAAGATTCAGGTCAAACCATGATATTTCACTGTAAACGACACGTTAACTGTGACGACATGTTATTTTTACTGCCCCAGAATGAGGTTATGTCACTCACACAGGTCTCCTTAACACAGACGGCCATGTTGGATCAGCGTGTTTTTTTACATTCACCCACAGCAGACTAAACTAAAAGGCTTTAAGTGGTTTTGTTGGTAACTGGAGGCTAACATTAGTTCTTAGCCATGCTTGGACAGGAATGTTGAGGTGAGGGGTATTTAACCACAACATATGACTTCACCACTAGATGATGCTCAACCCCACACTGTGTATTGTTGAGATAGCGGGAAAGAGATTCCTCTACTGTGTGTTTNNNNGAGATTCCACTAATGTGTGTTTTTCAGGGATTACGGATAACAAAAATAACGGTGAATGAGTTTTCCTACGTGAAGGTTGCTACACGTGAACTCTAACCCAGATCTCCGCCCCACAGGGGGCTTCAGTTTTCAATTTTTCTATCCACAGGGTTCTTTCTCTGCTGACCTGACGTCCATGCGGGGTTTAGTTAGGCAAATGTTAAGGCAGGGCTTGTTGTCAGCCTCCTGAGAAAGAATGCACATATGAATGTAGAGGTGTGTGAGGGAGACAAAATGTTCACCTATGTGTGTGTGTGTGACTTCTCTGTAGGTGTTAAAGAGTGCACATATTAGCGACAGACACCCAGCCAAGTGTGAACGAGCAGAATCTGACACACACTGCTCCCGTCTGTATACGTTTTCAGATGTTGATTTAAAAGCCCAGTACCAGTGAAATGTACACAGAGGCCTGTTTGTGCAGAGCTAGAATGAATCACCTCACGTCCGTGTAAATCTCCTGCAAGCCAAACACTCTGGCAGCCTTTTATCCCCAGACGTGGTCCAGCTCACCGCAGCAAGGCTAAAAGCAGAGCGGGACAGGACCGAGTGTTGTGAGGAGCTGTCAGAGGAGGCCAGTCTTTCATGGATCTGGACACAGAGATGTGGCACGGACTCGGGTTGCCATAGACAAACTCCAGAGAGCAGAGCCCGTTGACTGTAAACTGTTTGTGGTAGGTTGGCAGGAGGCTGGATGAAATATGGCTTGTTTAAACGCCGGTGGTCTCAGAATCTGCGGGCACTGGGCCTGCAGGAATGGACGGTGGCCTGTATGGTCAAACTAAATGTAATGTTACACTGTGGTTAGCAAAGGAGGACACGACCGCTGCGGATGCTGCTGTCTTCAGGAGAGATCATTGCTCTGTGCTAAAGTCTCATGTATGAGAGTGCGAGCAGGGGTTTGCCCCCGGAGCAGCGGTGGCGGCAGCGGCACACATTGGGTCCACATGCTCTGCATCGTTGTAAAGTGATTAAAAGTAGTTAGTAATTTTAAGCCTTCTGGCACAACGGTGTTTATTAGGAGCTGCGGGATGATGTCGGAGGAAAACTGCTCTGGCGCACAGACTGCAGTTTACGGCCCCAGCAGATCCCTCTCATAACCACACGGCATAATTGCGGGACCAACCATCAGACCACCACGATGATGAAAGCCATACTCGACGCACATGTTTCATTATCACCACCATGTATAGACACGATGCTCGTCTCTGAGTAAATACTGGATAACAACCGTGGAGTCACACAGAGTTGGCCAACGAGTGTGCAGATTTTTTAGAAATGTGTGAATAGTGTTAAAAAAATTATCAACCTGCCAAACAAATGTCAACAGACTTTGTGAGGCTTTGTTTTTAAAAAGGGTGGTCAAAATGAAGACATTAATCTCTCTAATTATTGACTAAATCCAAAAGTTGTTTTTTAGCACACACTGCTAAACAATCTTTGTTTCACGAAGCACCTGGAGCTTCAAACGTCACCACACCAGCTTCACTGAGTTCAGGACAGGACTTCAAAAAAATTTTTAAGCAACTCTTGACAAGTTTTTTTGGCATATTTTTCTTAACATCATTTGGATTAGTCATAAATAAAAACACGTGTGAAACTCATACATCTACTTGCTGCTATTTGTCATTCTATTCCAGTAATGTACATAAAGGTTTTTCGTCATCTCGATTACTATTTTCTCTCAATTAATCACGATTAATCCACAGCTGTGATTGATTTAATTCAAAATTTGAATCACTTGGCAGCCCTAGTTTAGACACAACAATAAACACATTTCTAAGATTCACATTTATGGGATTCAATCCAAACAATCACACCACCACTGAGGTAGAAGCAAGAGAAATGATATAACCCTGACGTAGTCATTAAAATCCCAGTTCATTTCCCTCGACTCGCAGCAGGGGATTTGGTTAAAGCTTTCCGGATATTTAGTTGGGAAAAAGTAAAATACATACCCGATGACTTTGTTCATCCTGCCTCCTCCCACGCTCTTGTTCTCGCTTGACCTGTTGGAATGGTCACAAGGGTGGAGTCAGTGAGAGTGGCTGATACGGAAAAGGTCAGTGTGCTTTAAAAATGGACTCTGCAGGGCAACTATTTC